CCCTCTAAGGTTTAAGAGGTGGCCTCTTATTCCATGTGAGGCTCGAGCTCCAAGAAAAACAGTGAGGCACTGACGGGTCAAACCTTGATATATAAACATATATATGGCTATGGAGTCCCTAATCCCGAGGATTTACTAAGGAAACAGGTGAGCAGTGACGCGTCAACTTGATATATGGATAGATGGCTATGGAGTCACACAACTCCCGAGGATTTACCAAACTCCTCTTGGCCTCCGGACATACAAGAATTATTACACAGACTCAATACGTGGCTTCCCCATGTTAGACTTGATGGACCGTAAAGGACATGAGATTGAGTGGAGCTGATGGTCCTGATGTATTTCGAAGAATGCACAGGATGCATCCAGGTTGTCTCCCAAATATGAAGGAAAACGATACTAGCTTGGATATCACTTCACTAACATAAAAAAATGACATGCATACATCCTTTTATTAAGGTCACTTTTAACATATAGATGGAGAAATAACGCTTTAGCATTCGATTTTTCCGCAGAATTTAGCGCGTGAATGATAATCATTCTGCTTCATAAATAAATTTCTGGCCATAAATGAATTTTTCTATTTCTATTTATTGGACGAGTTTCTGAACAGAGATATACGTTTTATAACGACACAAAATTTCTCTATCTTACGCTCTTTTGCATTAATTGACGAGCGGCAGCAGCTGGCGAGCGGCGGGTGGCAATAGTCGGCGGGCGATGGGAGGCCAGCGGGGGGTGGCGGCGGTGGCTAGCGGGAGGCGGCAGTCAATGGGCGGCGGGAGACGAGGATGAACGATGATAAGAGTTTTTATTTCTTTCTTCTAGAAATTGAAAAGTAGAAAATTTTTACTTCTTATTTCCGTTTCAAACCTATTTCTGGACTAAAAATTTGTTTAAGAAATAAAAAAAATAAAATTACGTTATTAAACAGATTTCTGTTCCAAACCTGTTCCGGGAACTAGAAAAGTAGAAAAACAAATAAACAAAATAGTTGTCATGTGCACCGTTAGTAGCTTGTACATATATACTTTGTCTTTCCTATTGTAAAGTACTAATAAAATGTCATTCGCATTGCACGTTGAAAATTGCATATATATATATATCTATATATATTTCACTATGTATGGAAACCATATTTTCTTAAACAAGGTTCGAGAGTTTTTCATTCGACTTGGGTGTTATTAGATAAACAATGCTTATTTAATTTAGAAGAGAACCATGAAAGAAGAAAGATGAGATCTTTTCTAGGTAAAATGAGAAATGCTCATTAAAGAAGAGATAGGATTAACCAAAAAGTTAGGCCATCAAGAAGAGCTAGCACATTTGTGAACATGTTTAAACAAGGCTTCTTTGATATTAACAAATGCAATTGACTATGGAGTTCTTTTGTTTTCAATTGTCATGTATATACGACATCAGACGTGTCCACGTTGGTGGAGACAACAGTGCCTTTGGTAAGTCCGAAAAGTAAACACATTTGGCAGAACTTATTATATTTAAATTGAATTTCACCAAATTAATTGGTTTTGGTTTTGGTTTTGGCTTTTAAAACCCACTTAGCCATAAAAGTCAACCTCATATAGGTTTGTCCTACTCTTATTCTTTTGCTGTCCTTTCACTCAAGAGACGGCGGATCCGATGACTTTGAGTCATTCATGTCATTGACATTAGTACACTAATTCACTAGAGACACCTATTAATTAAATCAAACGTGTTTTTCCAAAGGGAGAAAAGTATGCAGAATCGAATGCTCATTCGACGTTTATTATGAAGAACATAAGTAATTTCATAAAGTATGTGCAAGAGGGTAAACATTCTTGGTGGGCGAGAGTCATAGTAAGCAAACGTGGATGAACACAATAACATATGGCTATGCAATGAAAAGGAAGGATGGAAGGAACTCCAATAATGGTGCCACTATTTTCTTGGTCATTCACTAATTAGGTGGGATTATATTGCTTCCTTTTCTAACAAGGGATTGACCGTAAAGATCTTGCGATTAAGAAAAGGCAAGGCCCGGTTAATCTTATTGTGGATGGCCAATATTTGATTAAAAAAGGGTGGGGCTATATACAATTCTTATATGGCTAAGTCCACCCATTTCTAACAAAGAGACAAAATTTTCTTTAACTAATCAAATGAACTTTAAAATGGTGGACCCCAAATTCATCTAATTTCAATTTTTAAAGATTTTTCTTTTTGTATGTAGGATCTAGTTTTCATCATCAGGGATAGCGCATATTTTCTTTTTGTTCATTTGTTAATTTGGCATTGTGTAACCGAAGGCATTTACCACTTTGTTGAGCAATTTTATGAGTTAATTGTCAAGTAGAATCTAGAATTTTTTTTAAAATAAGCAACTTTTTTAACGCAATCTCGTGTTTATAAAATTTTTCTTTTGTTGTGCCTATTGTTAAAATATCCCATATCTTTTCTCAATAGGATTTATATACACTTTATACACATATGATGCCCCTCTACTTAGCTTAAACTTTTGAATTGGATATTTTAACACCTATCACCATCAAACTTTTTCTTATCAGTTGTCTTTTATATACGATTACTGGGATGATTGAACTGGAAAAAAAAAACCCTCTTTAAATATTTTCCACAAAAAATCACAATTACATTCCTAAATACGAAAATCTAGAAGACGAGATTTAATTAAATCAAAACTTTGCATAGAATAAAAAATAAACAAAATGACACCTAAATTCAATTTATTTTGGATTGACATACACCAACATCATACATGGTGTGTTTAGAAAAAAACATCGAGATGTTTTAATGTGCATAACTTTTTTACGTCATTGTTTTTTTTGTGTGTTCCTATATAAACCTATGACGTCTTGGATGCTTTTATGTAAAAGTGTCTCATCGATGATAGGAAAAAACACCGATTCTTTGATACGGAAAACAAAAAAGATTTGATATTCACTTTAGACTAATCAAATAAAATATAACAAATTCACCACAAAAGTGAGCTTCGAGGCAGGAGTGACGATTGTTATAATAGCAATGATAAAGTAGAGACTGGTTTTAATTTCCCAAATAGCAATAAATTTAAATTCGAAGGAAAAACACAATAAGAAAATAATTAAAATTGAAGAAAACTAGGCAAATATGAAAACCTTTTGGGGAAATTTTATCTTGTGAAAAAAGAGAGTAGATTTAATCATAACGTTAGAGAGCCATTTAAATGAGCTCCTGGATGCATTAATGCTTGGGAGGGCCAAAAAGGCTAATTATGGAAGCTTCATTAGAGCCAGAAATACGGCCGTTTACGCTTTTATTTTTCAACTATTTTTGTATTTTATTGTTTCCTAGATACACACACGCACGCACGCACACACACACACACACACACACACACACACACACATACACATATGTCATATATATGTTCAATAGAAAATCCTTCTATTTACTTTTTCTTTTTATGAGAAGTACAAATTGCTTGTTTTTTAACATAATCGTTTCTAATGTCCACAGTAAAAACTCGCGATCCCTGAAAATATGCAGTTTTCTTAACTTGATTAAAATACTTTACGTTTGGTATCTGTGAAAGATGACTCCACGCAATAAATTTGAAATACCCTACTTATAAATTTTCTCCAAACCAACTTTTTTATTACTTTTATCTCAATCAAAAATTTAAAAAAAAAACATCCATAGAACTATTTATTATGAAATGTTCTTTTACACATGTAATAAAACCAAAAATCAATTAAGCCTTTAGGGCTAGTATATGTAGATTTTCGCCAAACATACACATGTATCATTCTCTTAACTCGGTTTAATTAAATAATTTCTTCCCTCCTTCTATATAAAGAATTAAATTTTGTTTTGTTAAAAGCATACGTTGATGGGTTTTGAATGACAAGAAAAGATTTTTTCTCCTTCCTTATTTGATTTAATTCAGATGAAGAGATTCCATGCTCCATAATTGAATTCAAGGGTCATGACTGGTTAGCTTTCCATGTCGAGGTGTTGCGGAAAAGAGTTGAAAAAGTAAAGGGGGGGAAAACGTGCTGAAAAGTCAATATGGTCAATCTTGTCAAGGCAATAAGATAAAATACTGCGGTGAATAATATCCCAGCAATTATATATTCAGCCATTTATAAAGTCATATGCACTAAGATTCTTACCGTAAAGGCTGAATGTAGCACCAACCCTTTGTGTGTTGGATGACAACCATACCCCTAAAAAATTAGAAAGGATTAAAATCACAAAAAGCCCCAAACTAGTACAGCCGTGACAAATTTAACCTCCGTTAGTTTTCGTTAAATTTTGCCATCAAATTGTTGAGTTGAATGATATGTGACAGTTGATGAGTGTATCGGTTTAGAGTTTTGCCCCTCTTTTTGTAATAAGTTTACCGGTTTATAATTTTTCATTGTATTAATCCAATTTAACGGAGGGTATATTTGTCACAAGGGTACCGGTTTGGGATTTTTGGTGATCAAAAAATTAGTTTGTGATAATTTCGTCACAAGTGTATCAGTTTAGGATTTTTGGTGATAAAAAAAATAATTTGTAATAAATTTATCATAAATGTACCGGTTTAGGACTTCTATTGGTAAAAAATGACCAACTTTTATTATGTACGAGTCGTGAGCTTGGTTGACCGGAGCAAGGTTTAGCAGAAAGGGAAGTCACCAACAAACAAGACAATCTACAAGCTACAAGCTTGCCGACGGTGAAGGAAATCGACAACTCATAATCAGGTCAAGCTTCCAATGTGGCATACGTAGCCAATAGACATGGCAAGACCCACCCACTGTTTGATGGGTTTTCATGATTTGGTACCCCTATAAAAGATAAAGAGAGATTGACTGAGCATCGATTTGATCATCATAGCAATTCTCTAATCATAAAGTTGACCAGAAGTTTTTAAGTCATTCGTTTTGAGAATTCAAAGATGATTTGATTGGTGTGCCTCCCAAGACTTTGTCTTTGCTGTAGAAAAGGATGAAGGTTTTTGGTGAGGGGTTCCATGAGAAAGAACAAAAAAACCTTACGTAGCCACAAAAGAACAAAGGACTGGCTCACAAAGGTTAGCCTACGGTCTGACCATAGGTTTAGACATAGGCCAGCTCCAAAGTCACCGCTCGGAAGAGTCAAAGAGATTCCATTTTTTGGGAGGGAGAATTGAGTCGAGCCAGCTAGAGATATGGAAGGAAGCAACATGGCATGCACTAGCTCCTCAAGATCGATTGTCGAGCTAAGACACCATTCGATTTCTCCAATCTTGGAAAGGCGGTCGGTGGCCCGGCAGCCACACTAAGCGCTGTCATAGCACCATGGTAACAAGAAACCAATAGTAACACTAGAAACATCATCCGATTTCGAGAACTGAAGGGTTTCGGCGCTGCCTTTGTCACCACATTTAGGACAGAGAGAGCCACGGGAAAACAATAACCTGAAGTAGCTGATACCGTACCAAAAAACGGGTGCCGTGGCAGGAATCTGGAGACTGCGGAACTCCCTCGTAACCAGACCACAGCAAATCGGCAAGTTCTGTGCAAATACCGAATCAGCTCTAATCATTAATGACAGGATTAGAAGAGAAAAGGAGACAAAGTGCACGACTTGCCAGCAACAGAAGGGAACTGGACTAATCTGACACATCAGTCGAAATCAATGTAGTAAATGAACCTGGAATGATTTTTTCTTGTGTGAAAATGAAATTAGGGCAAGACATAGAAATAAAAAACAAAGAAATTTGAACCCGGCTAGGGAAGACGACACAGAAACGATATGGATATCCAGAGTAGGTTACATTGACAAGGGACGCGGAGACAAACTTCACTGCACAGGATTCTGCAGATTCAGAGGTTTTTTTTTTCTTTTGCCTGCTTTGCAGTTGTACTCCTCATTTTCAATGTTGCTAATTCAGAATCATAAATTGTTTTAATCATACCTATATTTAGTATTGTTGCAAGAGAAACAATTCTTAAAATCTATCCATGACCAGCCAACCAAGTTGCTTCATGATTAACTGATTCATGCTCATCGAATGATAGATAAAGAAGGCCTTAAAGGCCCATAATGTATAAAAAACTCATCAAAGACTACATTTATTCAAGACGAAGGGCGTAATACATAGAGTTCAATAACATAAGCAGTCATTCTGGCACCTTAATTGTTTCACTGATGGAAAGAAATATGCAACAGAAAGTGTGATTAACTGTTCTCAGTTTTCATTAATGCTACAATTTGAAAGTAAAGAGGACCATAGGAGAAAAGAAGAGAGCTGAGAATGCCTAAAAGGCCATCATTGACCTAAGAAACATATTATACAATCATTTGCGCCACGATCAGAACTGGCAATTGAGACTTAAAATAACAAAAACAAGCACCAGCTTTTGAGGTTGGAACTTAATAATTTGCCAATTTTAACAACTAGATAATGATTTTAGTGTCATACCTACCACAATGCTGCATTCAAGTGAAGAACAAACACATAACTGCAGACGTGTGCCCACTTAATAATACCTGATATGCTTGTTTATAACCACAAACAGATATCTTGCATCCTCAAGACATGCGGATATGCACAGGCCTCGCCTGAGATTCTAGAATTTGATTGCTTGAATAATAGGGCACCAGAATTGAATGGAGTTTATCAGGCCATATCCAGAAATGCCAAAATACCTAAATCTCTGACACTTAATGTGGACAAACCCAATCTCTTAAACAATTCCATAGTTCATAGTTTAGATTCTTCATCCTTCTATGTTTCTAAACTTATAACCAGCAAAACAAAAGGATGAGGGCAAGGCAGCTCATCCTAGGAGAGGATCTATCCAAATTACAGTAAAACTTGTGTTCCTTTGATCTCATTCTTTTCCATGAAACTCATCCACCTTGCTCTGATCAGCACCCCTTATCATTGGAATACTAGAAAAAAATGCACGATGTCCCAGCAGAACTAAATTAAGAAGCTTTCTCCTTGCCTCATAAACAGGATTCGGGTCAATTAAACATCCTCTCTCATAAGCTTCTCTGAGGAACACGGTATGTCTTTTCCCCTTGGTTGAGAGATAAAATATCCCAGGATGATCCAAGAACAAGTCTCTGATATTCATATCTATTTCGAACCAATTTCTAAAATGACTAATCTTCTCCACTTCAACCATCTTTTCCACTGTGAGACTCAAGAATTCATGAACAATAGCAACGGCTCGTTTCTCCAATGCCATGATTGCAGCCTTAGACTTTCTCTTTTCCCTTATCCCCTCATATGGCCCCACATAGGGCAATCTCTGCCATTCCTTAACCTTAGCCTTCAAGTCCTTGCTCAATCTCATTCCCGGAGGAAAACCATGCTTGAAACTGAACCTAATTTCAGTTCTATCAACATGACCGTCTTCCCTACAACACTCAGTAACCCTCCAATTCTCAACTGCTGCTGTAAGATGATTTTTTTCCGGAAGAAGATCGACCAACTTCAAGATATGAGTATTTGGTTCATGACCATCACAAAGTCTAAAGAGATTGGAATTTTGAGAGATAACAGAATCCTCAAAGTCATCTGGGAGACCAAGCTCCCTCCAGACCTTGAAAACAGCACGGAGTGGCAAAGACTTTGTAGGAGTCATTAATAAAAGGCGAACCAATCGGTCTACAACAAGGGCCATTGATGCTTTGATTGCCTGACTTTCTTCTAAAGCAATTTCAATGGCAGCATTGGTTAATTTGCAAAAGGGTTGAGACTTGTTAGTATCATAAAATATTTGGAAGATGTGGGGGTATTTGCGGAGGAAGGAGGCAGCACCACAATTCAAGTGAAGCTTCTGGGAGAGCCTATTGAGGAAGTCCAATGAAATTGATGATGAAGGGTTGCTGGAAGCAAGGATGAGGTCTTGAATTGCAACCACTTTAAGAAGGTTTTTGTACTTCTCCATGAGTTTTTCGAATGTGGGGTCTCTGGCCCTGGAGGCTACATACTGTGCAGAGGTTGTTTTGGTTCTATTAGTCATTAATACAGAACAGCAGCATCTGGTGGGTTTAAAAATGAATCTCCAATTCATCATGACAAGGAAAGTTCAAGATTTGTCTACCTACTTATTCATCCCATTAAGAATCCTTTATTTTGAAAAGCTCAGGAAGAAAGCTTTGGGCTTACACCAGCAATTACACCCCAGAAACACGTCCCCAAGGACATGAAGAGCTGACTAAGAGTTTTCCCCGATAATTTCATATAATGATATGGAGATTGCTGAGTCCCAGAGAAACCCCCAATTCTTCTCCTCTTTATCTCTAGAAGCCTGTACTCAGAAACAATCTTGAAAAAGTTATTGCAAGTGACGTTGGACAAAGAGTTGCTCATCAGCTACATCATTGGGCTCTTGAAACTAACGACAAGATAGATGTGGATCAACTAGATATAAGCTACCTATAGACCACACAAAAGTGAACAGAAAGACAAAACAAAAAACTAAATTACTCAAATACTAAAGTAAAAGACTTACCTAACGTATCCACAAGACAACCGATTTTCCAACTGATTGATGACTAATTGAAAATTCTTATTCATAGCTGACCACTTGCTTCAGGAACATCGGCGTCTACAAATAATTTAAACTTGAGAATCTTATTGATGCAGGCTACTGGTTTTACTTGCTTGCTGGGACACTGATTTGGATCCATATTAGATTTTCCAGAGGATTTGTTCACTTCAGATGGTCCTGTCTCTTCAGGAACAATGGGGGAAGCACCTGCAGAGAACATACACGTCCTTTCTTAGATGCCTCCTAAGAAGATGTGGATGACTACTTTCCCTTATAAAGAAAATCTGGAGCAATATAACATTGTCACAAACAGTCAACAGCCTTCTTTATCTTTAGAGCGAAATCAATTAATTTTAAGGACAAGAGGAGAAGCTCGTCTAATGTGTATTTGAGCCAAACAAGATGTAACTTTGCAATGTTAATATAATATAAATCAAGAGACTGGAGAAAGTCAAGGCCTATAGAGAAAGAAAAAAAAAATCAAGAGAAAACCTTAAGAAGTTAGTTCTTGTCAAGTACTTAATAAGAAACAGAGCACATGTACACTGTTCCACTTACTGCAGAAACGGTTTTATTGTCCTGGATTCCTAAATTTTTCCAGTAATAGCTAAGCAGGTATTATAGTTGCAAGAAACGAAGATATGGAAATGAAAAGTATAAAGTATGACACTTGAATGGGAAAGACAATTATTAGACATATAGGTAGTGGAGACTGGGGAGAAAAGTAGTTATTGACATAGAAGCCACACAAAGCCAACAGCAAATGAGTTCAATTTCTTTGAAATTAAGCACAATGGTAGAAAGTAAACTTCCTTTTCTTTTCACATGATAAGAAAATAAACTTCCTTGATCATACGTCATCGCTAAAATTCACAGCATGTCTGGATTAATTTTTCCTTTATAATTTAATCTAAATCTCATTGTGCACGTACTTTTGTCTTTTTTAACCCTCAACACCATAAACTTTCGAATATAAATATCGACACGTATTGCATATATATATATTTTTTGTAGTTTTAAGATTTGGGTAATATTTTAAATTTTGGCGAAATAGCAAAAAAAGTACTTTTCAATTATGCCGAATGCAAAACAAAGAAGCTCTCAATCCTCATAATTGCCTATAATGTACTTAACTCTTGATTGAATGATGATGGGTAGGCAGCTGATGACAAAAGAATTAAAAGTAGAATTTCAATAAACAACTCTTTGACATTCTATTCCAGTTTGCAATGGACACTACTTTAATAATCAGCAACGGAAGAGTAATTCTCTAACTCCCCTTGCCCCTGAAAAGACATAGTAAGTAAATTTGCTTTTACAGCTCCTTTTATACTATAATTGGCTTCTTAGAAAGGATGTCCGTATACCAAACTACCTGAAAGCCAGGAAACTAAAGTGAATGGAACCCCTCATGCTTTTTAAGACATAAGATTCTCTTATCAAATAAAAGGTTGTTCATTGCTGCCGTGATCCATTAATATGTGATAAATTTAAATCAAAGGAGACTCACCTTCTTCGGTAAGAGCAATACATGTTCCTATTGTTTCCTCATAATGCCCAATCTGCACCAAAGGAAAGCATAAGTTAAGAGCAACTAAATTCAAGTCCACATGAAATCTCACAATTACATATATTCATCAAAATACTTAAGGAAGTAAAATAATGCACAATTTACGTTTCATGCAGTACTCCACACATACGAAATGGATTTAGAGCAAAAGTAAAATTAACAATTACTCAGAAATAGAGCAAATGAAGACTTCTAGAGAGGGGCGAATAATAACAAAGTTGTGATATCAATGAAGCTGAATGTTTTCTCGATAGGAGTTTCACTCACGAATCTTCAATACAATCATGACTGTGAAACCAAGGTAATATTGACACTAAGTCCAACTCTTTCATTGAGGTCATATAACCATGTAATAAGGCTATGACAGGACATGGGTGTGGTTGCAAACAAGAGTCTCTTCATCTCAAGAAGAAACATGCCACGTGTTTATTACCATTGCACACATTTACATAGATGAATCAGACTCTGTGAGACTGTGGCACATCCATATCCAAATCCCATTAACATAATAGTAGCATGATATTTGAAAAAAGGAAACCCATGCACTACGATCACGTTCAAAAGACAACATGATGTCCTCATGATTCACAACTCTAGTTCTGTCTCTTGGCTTCGGACACACTTCAACACAAAATTAGACACATAAATCACTAAACGAAAAGAGTTAGTGCTTAGATTCAATTTTCCAAAGTTTTTTCAATTAAAATTAATTGCTCTTTTTTAGATTATTTGTAAATTATCTAGTGATGATGATGTTTGGTTACACCAAATAATACATGTTTGCATAGGATCATTCCAATTTACAATTTTACATATTCAAATACTAATTGGTTTCTTTCTCATTTCTATGTTAAAATATCTTTTGCAGGTAATTTAACCAAGTTATATCAACTATAATTAAGAAAATGTTTTTCACCTGTTTCAGGATAACATCTCAAGATGATTACTTTATTCTTTCTAATTGGAAGTACGCTGAATTTAGAAAAGATAATTGAAATGAAAGCAAAACGTTATCTATGGAACAGTGTTTTTACACCCGGACCAGTCAAAGAACAGGCATTCGTTCTAGTTCACCACTCAACCGATTGGACCCCTGGGTCAACAAAGTTGGAGAATTTACCAATACAATTATACACACACAAATATGCGCGTGTGTGTGTGTGTGTGTTTATTATGCCCGCTTACAACATCATGAGCATATACCCCAATGGGTAAGGTGTTCTTGCATCCACAAGAGGCCAGCGGGTCATTCATTCTTACCTCAGCTCATCAAATTTTTTTCACAAAGTCAAAAAACTTGGTCAAAGATCAAGTCAAACCAGTGGCTGGTGCACCGGGTCGAATAATTGAACGAGGTAAACACTTGGTTTGACCAGTACCACTAATTGAGAAATACCAAGATAGGATCATGGTCTGGTTCCCGATCCAACCAGTTGAACCTGCTGGTCTGGCCCTGATTTGAAATCATTGCTATGAAGACATATGTTCTCCCTTTCTCCTCTGTGATTTGAGAATTCAACACAAACAATTTCTTGGTTCTAAAAAGCGAAAATCTCTGCTTTCAATAATGAACCATTATATTTTTTTATACGTGAAACAAACAAATTTATCCAAGGGCATGCAAGCGTTGTTTTTATGTAAAAGATAATTTATGAAATTATTTACAATACATAATCGTGTCCTTCAAATGAAACCAAACAGGCCCTTAACTTTCCTGGAGCTTTTCAATAGTTCCATTATCAACTCATTTTCAGTCATATTAAGGGTCAATCACCAACATGCCAGCAATGGCTATTAAAAGGTCAAATGAAGTGATTAGAAACTAAGAACAAGTGACATAAACCTTATAGGGGAGACAAAGTTTAGATAATAATGCCAGCTTATGGCACAAGACAGTTTAATATGCAAGCATTACGTCCGACTTTGTAACCACTTCACCCAAAATATACATGTTTTGAATTATTAACATCTGATCGATTGACTCTAATTGTGTACATACATAACTGAATCTGCTGTTAAAAAAAGTCTGTTGATAAGAAAAGCTATAGAACTGAACTAATTTGACTACTACAATCCATAAAATTATGTTCCGCACCAGCCAAGTCTGTTGATAAGAAAAGCTATAGAACTGAACTAATTTGACTACTACAATCCATAAAACTATGTTCCGCACCTGCCACGTCATTATAAGTATAAAGACCAATTTCCGAATGATTAATCACATTTAACCATGTTATTCTTCTTTTAACAGATTGAGGTGCATTAACTTACCACACCTAACATGAAGGAACGATGAATGAAACATATGTTGAACAATCTACTAAGTTTCTTGACACAGTTAGATCAGGTTCAGGTCTACTTTTGCGATAAACTAAATTGACAAGCATTATTGATCATAGGATGATGCTACTGATTCAGGGCCTCATATTCTACTGGCTGCAAATAATTTAAAATATCAATGATTTCATCATTATTTACTGTTGCATATACAGCCACTCTGGATAAATTTAGGTAAGAGATGGAGGAATGGAAGGAGGAGGCATGTTATGCAATGGTTATGACAAGTAAAAAACTCGATTATACGTCAGGACACTGGAATGCTAGAAAGAAAAAACTCTCGCAAGAAACTAAGCATCACAAAATTTCTTATATCGATTACCCCCCCCCCCCCCCCAAAACAAAAAAACAAAAGACATGTAAATTAGATAAAGAGCTTACCAGCTTCAATTTGTTATCAATGATCAATATGGGATTCAATGTATCCAAACCCTGCAGTACAGAAAATATTCGGTGATAAACAATTTGACTCAATGAACGGCAATGAACATAAGTTCACATTGAGGAACTAAAAAAGACGCAGATGGTCAAGGGAAAAATTCTTCTCACTCAAAAGGAGACAGCCAATCTACAACTATGAGACAGTGTTAAAAGACAACTGAACCTGCTAGCATGTTTGGTGGTTGGAGAGTGTTTCAAGTCTTAATCAAACGATTTTTAAGATAGTAGAACATCAACAGTGGAATAGCATGTTCAAGCACATTGTCTATCCAATGATTATTGTATCATAAACCACGGGCCTCACAGTATTTTCGTTAAGCACTCGGTAAAGCAGTTGGTAGAAACACCATATCTGATCCCTATGACATGATTACAAACCACAGATATAAGACCAGACAATTGCTAAACAACAAAAGTTTGCAAGTCCGAACACATACAGATAAGACGTAAGGTGCATTCGGCGGGATGTCAAACTGCTCGGGGACAGAGTCGAGATCAAGCAAGACAAATTCCTCTTCAATCACTACATCATCACGCACCACATTTGCATCCATCGTTCCATTACCTACAGAGGAATGAGAAACAAGATTGGATGTCCACATACAATGCCAATTGAACAGAGCTTAGAAAACTATATGATTCAGTAGCCTATCCATCACCAATATCACGATCTTCCCGAGTTATATTATTGCTCCTTTCTCGCCAAACATCTATCGATGATCATGCAAGAGAGAAGAACATTGAAAGGAGCATCGCATAGCAAGAAAGTTCTCCCAGTTGAGAGCAACATGATGCTGCTCGACAGCGACGGGAGCAGCTAATTCGCCGGAGCTCCGAGTTGCCGGAGAAAGCAAGACCTCACGGAGATTTGTACGGACCTGGTCGGCGTGAAGAAGAATCGAGCGGGGTCAGCGTCGAGCACTCAGGCGAGGTGTCGTTCGACGCGACGGAATCAATCTATCGGCCGTGAAGCGCGGAGCGAGCAGGAGCCTCGCTGCCGGCTGCGAATCGCCGGGCCTCCCGCTCGCGCGGCGGTCGGCGGCGAGATGGATGGAGGCGCGGCGGCTGGGCTGCGGCGGCGATTGCGTCGGTCGCGGTCTGTGCAGGGAGGAAGAAGCTGCACTGCAATAGTCGAAGTCGCAAAATCACAAAAAAAAAATTGTATCTTTAATTGGCGAAACGGGCAAATCAGGGTTTTTACGGGGAACTAAAGGGAAATTTCCAATTTGACCCCCCAACTTTTGTGGCATCACACAATTGTTCCCCTCTAGTTTAAGGGCATGTTTGTCCACACAACAAGAAATTCTTTTAATGATTTATTTTTGGGAAAAAGGCATTAAGGGTCCGTTTGGTTCAACTTTGGGAATGAGCGTTTGGAGAATGCCGAAAGCCCAAAACTGGTCCGACATTTCAAATGCTAGCATTTGGCCAATGCTAGGCTGAAAGCTGAACTAAACGGGGCCTAAAAGTCCTTGAATTATTTAAAAAAATCCAATAGGGTCCATCGATTTTTTTGTGCAATTAAATCCCTAAACTGTGTACTTTTTTCTTTGTTTGAGATACATCTTTCATTTTTTTTAAGAAGGGGAATACTGGCATGGACTGATACATTATTGTTACGTCAAGGTTGACTGGCTTATGACAAAAAAAAACGTTGACCGGATAAATTAGTGACTAAATATATTTTCTTTACCAATTAGATAAAATATTAAACAAAATTTATGAAGAAAATCCAAATCCTAATAGCGAAAAACCAACAAAGAGAAGAAGGGGAAGGTAGCAAGAGGCATGACAAGTAGGAGTGAGTGGTTCCAAGTTCTTTACAGATTCTATCTGGAACCTGGAACCTACCCTGGGGTACAGGTTCTTCATTTTTTGAAACGTGAAACCTACCCGTCGAAACTTTGAAGGTTTCAGGGTAGATTTGAAGGTCTAACATGTTCTTTTTTTTAATTTCATTTTTAGTTAAACAAAACGAAAATAATTGCAACAATACTAAATAAGCTTGTCATTTACTAGAGAAAATACAAAAGACTAATTTTCCTGGCATTACAGTTCAAATAAATATAATTAAAATGAGAAGTCATTGCGTGAATCGATACTAGAGGTGAGCAGTTCCATGTTCCGTACCTAGAACCTACCAATGATAATAAGTTCCTCATTTTTTGAAACTTGGAACCTACCCTATCACAGGTTTGATGGTCGGTGTCAAGGTCTATCCGGGTTCCACCTGTATTATTAATTGAACAATTGCAGTGAATCATTACTTTTAATGACTGCCACTTGCTGCTATGATCCACCAATCATAACTTATATTTAAACATACGAAGAATATGAAATATTAACAAGTCATATAATAAAAAAGCTCTAATTAGTGGTTTCAGATTATACACTCATCATCTAATGTCACGAAACACCGCAAGATTACGCAAAGATATAGACCAAGGAAAAACACAAAAAACTTGTTTAGGTTCCAAGTTTCATGTTCCAGCACATGGAACCTGTTCGTCAAAACAGGTTCTCCAATTTTTAAAACCTACCAAGCATATCTCAGAACCTGAAACCTCCAGATTCCTACCTGTTAGGTTTTAGGTTTTATCCTGAAACCATGCTCACCCCTAATGACAAGGGCCAAGGCCTTCTAGCCTTTGGCCAATGGCACGCTCACCGCCCCCTCAACTCCAAGCACACAAGCATACATAGTAAGACTGAGCTGTTCCAAGTTTTGTACAGGTTCCACCTGGAATCCAGAACCTACCCATTATAACATGTTTCTCATTTTTTAGAACCTAAGACCTGCTCTGCATATCTTAGGACTTGAAACCTACCATGTCACAGGTTCTAGGGTCGGTTTCAGGATCTACTAAGTTTCAGATTCTAGGATCGGTTCCAGAGTTTACCAGGTTCCACTTGTATTATTAATTGAATGATTGCAGTGAATCGTCACCTTTAATGACTATCGTTTGCTATTACGATCCACTAATTACAACTTAGATTTAGATACACGAAAAATGTAAAACATTAATAAAATAAAAAGTTTCAAGCATAAAATGAAAGCTCAGACTAATGGTTCACCATAGAATACCACGAGATCGCGTGAGGATATAGACCAAGAAACAAAATTTTTTTTTTTCAGGTTTAAGGTTCTATCAACTTAGAACATGGAATCTATCCATTGAAACATGTTCTCCAATTTTTGGAATCTAAAACTACTCTACATACTCTAGAATCTGGAACCAGACAAGTTCCTATCGGTTCGGTTCTCAGGTTCCAATAGCTATCCATGAACCATGCTCACCCCTAATATACAGAGAGGGATAGAGTCACAGAGAGAGGAGTGGCGTGGATGAACCACCGCCAAAATCTAGCGAAAACGGGGTTATGCGGCCTTGGCGACTGTTCCATATGTGAGCCAAATTTCGCGTGGGGTCACATTGCCCAAGCAAGACATATCTCGCCGAGGTCGCTTGACCTAGTCAGGATAGATCATTGCCTTCGCTTGGCCCCGCAACTGTTCACCTGCCCTAGCTGCATAGCTACCGTCACCACAACGGTCGAGAGTGGCGAGGGTTGCAATCCTGTGAGTGCGTGCTCCAAGACTCGTTGGTCTCTCCATTCCTCTTGAGAGTTCACGATGTTGCCTCAGCTTTGATGGTTGCAGATATGGTTGGCACAGGCGTTGCTGCCCATGCATCGACAAGGCCCATCGCTGACCGCGGCCCCATAGCCCAAGTGCAGCTGTCCCCGACCATTACAACCGAGCCCCTCCGACGTGACGACCACCACTGTTTACTAAATTGGTCTTTTTTTCTTTTCGAATTGACCTCTTTTTTGTAATTTTAAAAGGCCAAGTAAGATACCATGTCAGCACAAAATGGCAACTTTGAGGCCACATTTCTCCGACTAGTATACAAGGTGAGTTCACCTAATTTTTCTTATCGACACTCGCATGTGGACATCTCTCCACTTCTCGATTAATCCTTGGGGGCCCTTTACCAAAATTAACGAACATGATGAGATAGTAAGCGCACGAGTTCCATTCCTTGATGTTTCGCATCATGTAGAAAAAAAGAAACATAAAACCACTCTTGGGATCATTAATTCATTAGACATAAAGTGGCATCATACTTCGTATATCGATGCTTAATGATCTCATAAAAGTTACATTTATTTAGAATTGAAATTCTCTAGCTCATCCCTCTGGCCGGTGCCGGCAACCTGCTGAGGAAGAAGCAAAAAAGAAAAATAAATAAATAAAAATTTGAATTTTTTGGTAATTTTCCCTAGAAAAATTAAATTAGATTATCCATACCAAATGGCAGAAAATATTTTCTAATTTATTTTCCTAACAAATAAATTTTTGGAAAATATCTTATTTTTCGCAAAATAAATAGAGCTTAAAAGAGGTTACATAAGTTAATATGCCTCTTCCTCAATACCGACCTACTATGCATGCCACCACCGCTTGCTGCTTCTCATCCCTACCACAAGCCCTTGCCGACGCACCACATTGCTACCATTGTCGCCACCATTATGGCCCCTCTCGCTTGTGAATCTCTCTCTCTCTCTCTAGGAGCAAGAAGTAAGTTTCTCCAGCCTTATAAGCCACGCAATAGAATCACTTGTTGATATACCCTTATTAAATTAGCTCTCTAGGTCACAAGTTCGAGCGTTTGTGCTCAGGGTGTGATTGTCAAGGACCTAGAATCGGTGACATGTACAACTATTGAGGATTGAGGCCCGGTCATGGGGGACCAACCGAGCCCGACCGTTGGGTCAGGGCCCGGTAATGGTTGGACACTTTGGTCTGGCCAACGGTGGTGGTTGAGGTGAACGTAATTGCAGTTCTTACTAATTTTTTTTTTGGTAACCCGGGAACCCCCCGCACGGCCGACAGCCGAGGAGGTAAATCCGGGGTGACGCTAGCGCAGGACCCACCACTACGACGTCACGCTTAAGAATCCCTAACGCCAGCGCTGGGATTCGAACTCCTACCCTTCGTGGGGGAGGGGAGCCCGAAGCCAGCGCAGCCGCCGAGGGCGGTGGTGCAGTTCTTACTATTGAAGAGCGCAGAATGAAAAAAAGGGTTTTAAAGCCTGTTTGCCGATCCTTGTCAGTCACTTTTGGCTTTTAATAATGACTTTTCCATGGTTGATCAGTCCTAACCAAAGCCTAGAGAGTTTCTTAATTATAAAAAAAAAACTAGATTTACACCAGCATTACACTTTAATTTAATTTCCTTGTCCTTGGAGTTTCTTGTTAAATAATTCAGATTTTAGGAGATCGCATTTACTTTTTAATGTTTTACCTATTGTTTGAGCGTGCCTTGAGCTTCTGTGTGCATTGCTTCAAAGAAGACCCATCGGTTGTCGTGCCCTTTCCAGAAGGTTTGTGCTTTGAAATTTGATTTTATGTTGCATGTCCATGTCCATTGGTGTTGGTTCCATTTAAGTCAAATTTTCTCCTTGAATACAACCTTGTTTGAAGCTCAAATTAGTTAACATTGATGTAAATGAAGAGGCACTCTCCACTTCAAGAGTCAGTGAGAAGTTACACGCTTACAGTTATATAAATAATTTCTTTTTATGAATTACAGTTACATAGATTGCTCTGTCAAGGCTTTTGCCCAAATATATCGCATCAAAAGCCACTGTTCCAATACCCTATTGAGTATTGACCTTTCATAACTACAAGAATATCATTCATTGGATTCTAGCACTCTCTTCAAAAGACCATTGATGGTATTTTTAATGACTATTCACGTAATGTGATAAGGAGAAGAAGAATCAACATCTACTTCCAAAAGAAATCAAAATTTTTTTGGGGAAATCTTCTATGGGTAGGCAAGAGACGATCTAGTGAACTACATGGAAACGTATTAGTAAATTGAGGAAAAGAAAGCGGAAATGACTCGAAACCGAGTAGGTTTTACACGAAGAAGATTTGATTCTCCTGCGCGCCCAACTTCATGTTATTAGTTTTTGTGGGTTGAGATTTTCCAACCACTAGTGTCGCTCGATCTCAATTGAATCGCCATCAACCTTCGAGCTCCGCAGCTATAATCTCATAGGAAATTGCTCTTGATCATGGGTGTTGCAACCTAACCCTCGTGGGTGCACCACCTAAGGGTTCGGCTAATGGATTAATAAGCCTACACTTAACTCGGGCTCTCCA